TCTGTGCAAAAGATCGATAAATATTCAGTGTTGAGGAAGAATCCAACTTTCAGTCCGTTGTGTAAAAGAATCAAACCAGAAGAAATGACAAAACAAACACGGTTATTCTTTTGTACCAATGGCCAATATGAGTCGCCTCAGTTCGAGTATTGTGTGTGCATTCACTCGCCTCTTGTGGCCTGTGTTTACTTACGGTTTCATACTGATTGGTGCAGTTGTGTTCCGTCGTGATATAACGCGCGCGAATCATTGACAAACTATCTATAGATCTTCTGGTTGAACAAAAAGTGAAGATTACACACACCAATGTAAAGAAAGAATAGCTGGTTCCTTCCTTTGGATTCATGCACGTATCACAGTGTTATCCACAGCCAAACAGCAAAGGATTTAATTCATCTTGTAATCGAGTTCACTTCCCCGGTACTCATTTGGAACAGGTTTCCGACCAAGCCCAAGCCCCAAAGACCAGTGATGAAAGAGTGAGCTTAGAAGCTCACAGTAAGTTTCCATAGTAAAGTTCCGTTGCATAACAAAAAAATGATTCGACCGGCTGGCCGGTTTTCAGAACACTAACATGCTTGCATTCAACCTGAGAGGTCCCTCAGTTCGAACCCAGGTGATTTACATTGCGGATGAGAGAGAGAACGAGAAAAGGTAAAAAAAGTGTGTACAGTGGCTTTTCATTTCCCGTTTCCTTTGCTCCGTACAAGACGAATTTCACAATTTTAATTACCAAGTAACCCTCATTATTCCATTGAACTATATATTAGCATCCATTTAAATAATAAAAACAAAAGAATAAAATGCGTTTTTAGTACTGGAAAAATGACGACAATGGTTGATAAAGTTCAGTTATAAGGTTAGCAAAAAGTGTTACGCAAAGAAATCAGTGATGAGTTCAATCAGAGGCTAAAAACGAAACTGCTCACGGGGTGTTTCATATCCATTATGTTGTCAAAAGGTATTGATTTTGAACTACCGACAAACGTGTTACATCGTAAATTGGTAGTCGATCGACTTATTTGCAATTTATTAGTTCAGTAATTCAATCAATGCACATATGTTAATATTAGAATGATAGATATCACGATGGTTATGCAGCAACACGTTATTGTTCATTAATTAGTTTTTTACGATTTGTTGCTTCTCGTGTCAAAAGTGAGGACGCGCGCGAGAGAGAAAGAGAGAGAGAGACAAAAGGAAGGGAGGGAGAAATAAGCAATAGACCAAACACCCGATTGTTGTTCCTTCACCCCAACTCCGCTTCCTCCTCGTCTCTCGCATTGATGGATGAAAAAGGGATATCATAGCTCCTCCTACGATGAATGAACACCAAATTCAGCTGTAACGAGATATTTTTCGGGTAGTTATACATGTTCTTGTGTTAGTCATCATCGACCTTTTACATGTACAACTTAGTAAACATTGGTATGTTTCAAAACAGTGGAGAGGTCATGAGTACCCAAGGAGTGAAACCCATATCCCACAGCCCCTGATGTTTTTAACTCGCATCAACTTGTCTGACTTATCAGGGTGCCGACTATGTAGCTCCACTGTCATCTTGCCAGATCCCGATTCGGGTCTCGGTGGGAGTGAGCACAGAGTACGCAAAGATCATGAATTCAAACCAGAACACCTGTCCAATACGAAAAATCGCACAAATTTGTTAAGTATAACGTTTCTCACAGCTTTAGAGAGAACATCCAACGACGAAGCCCATTTAAGCCAGTTTACAATAAGGGTAAGAGATGAACTCAAGTGTCAGTTGGCTGCTAGCCCGGAAAATCCTTCCAAACGGGAAATAACCCCGTTTACGGAGGGGTACATGACTTTAAGTGATACTCGATAGACGATGGGATGAAATGAGTCAACTGTGGGGTAGGATAATACCATAACGATAATGAAAGCTTACCCGGCCAAGAAGTGTTTTGATGAAGATAAAATTCACCGACTTCAAGGTCATTTCAAATTCTTATTCCACACATTTGTGATGAACTGCAAACGGGGTAAACCCTATAGTCGCGAAGACCTGCTGTTCAATGATGGAAACCGGTAACCTAAGCCCCGGGTCTTGAGGTGGTGAACCACATAAGGCCCCGTTCCGTTAGGCATGGTGTTGAACCGGACGAGAGAATGTCTGCCAATCACCAAAGTTGGGTTGGGGTACGCGGGGGTCGAAGCTCAGAGTATAGGGCCCAAAGCATGCCGGTGACAGTGACTAAAGGAATGTACCACCACCACCGCCACCACCACTCAATGGGATGGTGATGTATTTGGAGACAGCACTAGAAAACAGTACAGAAGTGGATTCAAGTGTGCTGTATTAAACGTATTTCATTATACCACATGGTTTTGTTCTGAAGGCTGTTAATTTCAATATTAACCAAATTCTCAGTGACTTTCGGGGTCAGTCAGAAATGTGCCTGGAGGGAAGGTGGCTTTGGCATATTACGGATTGCATATTAGTAATACTATTAACTTTCGTCTCGTCATATGTGAAGTACTTTGTGTTTATCTCGCAATAAAGAACACGTAACTGAAGTCTATTTGCACAATGCCGTAGCACTGTTTCAAAGTGTGATCAGATGGACCGGTGCGATCGACCCGAATATCAATGAGGAAAATGAAATATGGATACAACGCGTACACTGAGAATCTATTTGTCATATAGACCAACGGTTTCTCATGACGAATGATACTAATGGGAATTCGTAAGTCCAACTATATTGACTTGATAGCACACCAGCGATCCGGTCACTTGATGAAGTAGTTGTGCGTCCACCAGTTTCTTTAACTACTTGTTTCAATGAACGGAACAGTAATGTCAGTACGCTAAAGATATCACAGTGATTTGGAGGCAACAATAGCTCGCTTTTCACACAAAGGATTACTGCCAATTGCCACAAGACGGGTACGATGAAATGGGACAATATTGCCATCCTTTCATCATCACCATCATCGTCGTGCTCGCCGGGTTGTTCATTAGGCCAAAAATCGATTGCAAATGCCAATCGAATTGGTGGAATTCGTTTCGTGACTGAATGCCACACGCA